CTTCCGAGGAGTGGCTGGTGGGTTTGAACCGCCAGCCTTCTGGTGAGCAGTCAAGTGCCTTAGGCACTATGCTACCAGAGCTCCTAGGCAGGGTAGATGAAGCAAATGGAAGAAATGACCAGATAAAAGAGCTGAACAGATTTCAAAGGGCAGCTTGAGAAGACAAAGTCAATTATTATAATGAAATGTATAAACACCTGGAGTTAGAAAACCGAAAGAGAACACATTCAGCATTTCTCAAGCTGAAAGAAAAAATTCAAGTCTCGAGTTACAGTTCTGAAAGATTCTATGGGCAAAATATTGAATGATTCAGGAAACATCAAAAGAAGATGGAAGGAATACACAGAGCCACTGTACCAAAAAGAACTGGTTGACAATCAACCATTTCAGGAGGTGGCATATGATCAAGAACCAACGGTTTTGAAGAAAGAAGTCCAAGTCGCACTCCAGGAATTGGAGAAAAACAAGGCTCCAGGAACTGGTGGAATAACCGATGCCCACTGAGATGTTTCAACGAACAGATGCAGTGCTGGAGGCACCTACTCATCTACGCCAAGAAAGAGGGAACACAGCTGGCTGGTCAACTGACTCCACAGACTGCTACCTGTGCATGTTCAAAAGAAAGATGATCCCACAGAATGTGGAAATTATCTAACACTATCTTTAATATCACCCACAGGTAAAACCTTGCTGAAGATTATTCAAAAATGGTTGTAGCAGTATATTGACAGGGAACTTCCAGAAATGCAAGCTGGACTCAGAAGAGGACACGGAACGAAGGGTATCATTGCTGATGTCAGATGGATCTTGGCAGAAAGCAAAGAATACCAGAAGGATATTTACCTATGTTTTACTGGCTATGCAAAGGCTTTCGACTGTGTGCATCATAATTATGGATAATATTGCAAAGAACAGAAATTCCAGAACACTTAAACTGTGCTCATGAGGAACCTGTCCACAGACCAATAGGCAGTCATTCAAACAGAACAAGGGGATACTACATGGCTTAATATCATGAAAGATGTGCATCAGGGTTATATAGCCTTTCACCATATATATTCGATCTGTATGCTGAGCAAATAATTCAAGAAGCTGGACTATATGAAGAAGAACATGGCACCAGGACTGGAGGAAGACTCATTAACAACCTGTGATATGCAGATGACACAACCTTGCTTACTGAAGATGAAGAGGACTTGAAGCACTTACTGATGAAGATCAAAGACTACAGTCTGCAGTGTGGATTAACCTCAACATAAAGAAAACAGAAATCCTCACAACTGGACCAATAAGCAATAGCATGATAAATGAGGAAAAGACGGAAGTTGTCAGGGATCGCATTTTACCTGGATCCACAATCAACACCCATGGAAGCAGCAGTCAAGAAATCGATGTCGTTAACTTTTAAACCACTGAGAATCATGGCCCAACCAAGTTGACACAAATTTTAGGGGGACACAATTCAATTCAGATCACACTATTATTCAAATTTGTACATAAACCATGAAAGCCAAACTTGAAGAAATTGATGGTTTTTACCAACTTCTGCAGTCTGAAATTCACCAAATATGCAACAAAGATGCATGGATAATTACTGAGGATAGGAATGCAAAAGTTGGGAACAAACAAGTGTCAGTAGTTCGAAAATAATGTTCTTGGTGATAGAAAGAACACCAGAGATTGCATGATAGAATTTTGCAAGACCAATGACTTATTCATTGCAAATGCCTTTTTCCAACAACATAAATGGTGGCTATCCAGGTGAACATCACCAGGAAGAATACCCACGAGTCCAATCAACTACATCTATGGACAGAGGCAACAGGGAAGCCCAGCATCTCATCAGTCAGAACAAGGCCAGGAGCAGACTGGTGAACACACCATCCACTGCTCATAGCAAGTTTAAGTGGAAGGTGAAGAAAATCAAAATTAAGTCCACAAGAGCCAAAATATGACCTTGAGTATATCCCACCTGAATTGAGAGGCAATCTGAAGAACAGATTTGACTCCTTGAATATCAATCAACGTGCGAAGACTACACAAGTTGTTGGATGACATCAAGAACATCACACATGAAGAATGCATAAGGTCATTAAAAAGACAGGGAAGAAAGAAAACACTGAAGTCGATCTCAGAAGTGACTCTGAAATTTGCTCTTGGACAGAGAGTAGCTAAAACAAATGGAAGAAATGAAGTAAAATAGCAGAACAGATTTCAAAGGGCAGCTCAAGAAGGCAAGGTAAAGTATCATGAAACGCACAAAGAGCTGGAGCTAGGAAATCAAAGGGGAGAACACACCTGCCATTTCTCAAGGTGAAGGAACTGAAGGGAAAATCAAGCCTCAACTTGCAATACTGAAGGGTTCTCTGGGCAAAACATTGAACAGGAAGTATCAAAACAAGAAGGTAAATATATACAGAGTCACTGTACCAGAAAGAGTTGGTCAGTGTTCAACCATTTCAGGAGGCAGCGTATGATCAAGAACCGATGGTATTAAAGGAAGAAGTCCAAGCTTCACTGGCAAGAAACAAGGCTCCAGGAATTGACAAAATACCTATCGAGATGTTTCAAGAAACAGATGCAGCCCTAGAAGCACTCACTTATGCCAAGAAATTTGTAAGACAGCTGCCTGACCAATCAACTGAGAGAGGTCCATATCTATGCCCGTTCCAAAGAGGTGATCCAACAGAAAGCAGAAATTATCAAACAGTAGCGTTAATAGCACATGCAAATAAAACTGTGCTGAAAATAATTAAAACACGGTTGCAGCAGTACATCAAGAGGGAACTGCCAGAAATTTGAGCCAGATTCAGGAGAGGACATGGGACGAGGGATATCACTGCTGAAAGCAAAGAATAGAAGAAAAATGTTTGCTTGTGTTTTAGTGACTATGCAAAGGCTGTGTGGATCATAACAAATTATGGATAACATTGCCAAGAACGGGAATTCCAGAACATTTAATTGTGCTCATGAAGGGCCTATACATAGAACAAGAGGCAGTCATTCAAACTGAACAAGGGGATACTGCATGGTTTAAACTCAGGAAAGGGTGGTGTCAAGGGCTGTATCCCTTCACCATAGTTATTCAGCCTACATGGTGAGCAAATAATCCAAGAAGGTGGACTATATGAAGAATGCAGTATCAGGACTGCAGGAAGATTCATTAACAATCTGTGATATGCAGATGACACAACCCTGCTTGCTGAAAGTGAAGAGGACTTGAAGCACTAACTGATGAAGATCAAAGACTATAGCCATTGGTATGGATTACACCTTAACATCAAGAAAACAAAAATCCTGACAACTAGACCAATAAGTAGCATCATGATAACTGCTGAAAAGATTGAAGTTGTCAAGGATTTCATTTTACTTGGATCTACAGTCAATGCCTATGGAAGCAGCAATCAAGAAATCGGATGACTTACTACATTGGGCAAATCTGCTGCAAAAGACCTCTTTCAAGTGTGTAAGGGGAGCTCTCGTAGCATAGTGCCTAAGGCACTTGACTGCTAACCAGGAGGCTGGCGGTTCAAACCCACCAGCCACTCCTCAGAAGGAAGATGGGGCAATCTACTTCCGTAGTGATACTGCCTCGGAAACCCAAGGAGGGGTTGCTATGAGTCAGGTCCGACTCGACAGCACATAATACCCACAACAACAACAAAGTGTGTAAGAGCAAAGATGTTACTTTGAAGACGTCTTGGGTCTTGCACCTCACTCAAGCCACGGTCTTTTCAACAGGCTCATATTTGTTGACAGCTGCACAATGAATAAGGAATACAACAGAAGAAACGATGTGCTTAAATGGTAGTGTTGCCAAAGAACATCGAATGTACCATGGACTACTAAAAGGAAAAAAAAAAAGAAAGAAATCAGATGTCATATTACATCGGGCAAATCTGCTGCAAAAGAGCTCTTTCAAGTGTTATAGAGCAAAGACGTCACTTTGAAGACTAAGGTGCACCTGACTTAAGCCATGATATTTTCAATAGCCTCATATGCTTGTGAAAGCTGGACAGTGATGTGTAAATTACTTAGTGGTGTAGTAAATTACTTAGTGTGGCTTTTCTACCCGTAAGTCTTTGTAAACTCCAAGGTGGGATTTTCTATGAGCAACTGAGGAGCTCCTGATTGCTAAAGTTGTCCACCTGGAGTATTTCTGTTGGGAGTGGCACAAAACAATGTTCTGGGAGGTGCCCACTCTCTCTCATGTGCTTAGAGTTCTGAGGCTATGATTGGCTAGTTTGACCACCCTGCCGGGCTCAAAAGGAGGCCTCCTAGAGGCAGAACTCTCTCTGACTACTGGTTGAGGAAGACGTGCTGCTGAAAAAGACACACGCCCTGGTAAGAGACATGTGCTGCTGGGAAAGAGACGCAAGAGACACGTGTTGCTGAGTAAGACACCGAGGGACATGCACTGCTGGGGGAGAGACTGTGAGAGACTTGGCTGAGAGACAGTGGGCTGGGAGAGAGACTGAGCATTTTTCCTGAACTCAAATTGTAGCCTGGTGCTTCCCTAATAAACCTCATAATCTGTGAGTTCTGTGTGGCCACTGCAGTGAATTATTGAACCCAGGAGAGAGGTGGTGGGTGCTTTGGGAGGAACAGTTGGTGAAAAGGCTGGAGGGAGGCAGCATGTCTGGCCTCGCAGGAATAGGCCTTGGGCTGTTGATGGTGAGTCTGCCTTCCTCCCGTGGGGTTCTAGGAGGTCAGAATATGAGGCCGCCTTGTTGTTTTTGCACCGCACAAGAGTCGGTGCCTTTGAATTGCGGTGCTGGCGAAGAACATTGAATGTACGAGGGACTGCCAGAAGAAGTACTTGGAAGAAGTACAGCTGGAATGTTTCTTAAAATCAAGAATGGGCAGATCCCATCTCACATACTTGGGTCATGTTATCAGAAGGGACCAACCTCCGTAGAAGAATATCATGCTTGGTAAGGTAGAGGGTCAGTGAAAAGGGGAAGGCCCTCAACAAGATGGACTGACACGGTGACTGCCAATGATGGGCTCCAGCTAAGCGATGGCTGTGAGGACGGCACAGGACCGGGTAGTGTTCCCTTCTGTTGCACACGGGTCGCTACAAGTTGGAACCAACTAGACAGCACTAACAGCACCAGGAGAGCAGCAGCTGAACAGGCTGTTGCACTGGCCACGTGCTGGGCTGGTTAGCAGTGGAAAGGTTGCTGACGGGCAGACCGAAGGCAGGGAGGAGTGCCTGCCTGAGAGGGGCCCAGAGAGCTGTCCTGCCGGAAGTTCCCCTGCACTGAAGAAGGAAGGGACGTGCTCCCTCCACAGGGGAGCCTTCTGAACTCCGTCTATGTGCTTCCTGAGCCTGACCCTAGTCACAGCCTCTTCCTTCCTTAATGAACCTCTTAACTTTAAACACAGTTCATGAGTTGTGTGTGGTCAATGCCACGAATTACCAAACCCAGCAGAGAAGTAGAGAGGGCTGTGAAGGGAGCACCTGGTGTCACAAGTGCCGGAAAGGCTGGGGGCGGGGTTATGCTTGAGCTCATAGGAACCAGCTGTGCACTGATCCTGATTCTTGCTGCTCACAAACTGAGGTAATTCTTTAAGGCAGTAGATTACAGCGTCATAAAAATGACATTTCCTACCCGAGTAATTCTAACACGTTTCATATCTGGTGGTGTTCTAAAGATTAATGTACACATGGTCTTGGAAGCCATATGAAACTGACATAGCCCCTGGGCTGAGCACGGCCGGGAGCCGCAGCTCTCAGGGTTAGCCCACAGTGCCACCTACCAGCAGATGCCCCAGCGCCAGCTGCTCTGCACAGCCGCGGCTTTCATTCCGACAAAAGATCTGAAGTGCCAGGATCTCTCTCTTGCAGCAATTATCCTTAAACACCTGAAAGGGAAAGAAGGTTAGTTTAGAGGATTAATATGTTTTAATCGCCACATGCTGCTACTCTGGACGAGGTAAAACCACTTAAAAAAATGAGGAGAGCAGCTCTGGAGTGGCCCTCAGGAAGCAGGGAGGGTCGTCTTAATTGCCACAAGGAGGATGAGGTGCTGCCCCACCAACAGGCACAATTTAAACAGATGACTGTAACCACCACCTTCCATTAGACAAGCCAACGGAGGAACAGGTAAACTGAGTAACTGAAGGTCGTTTCAGAGGAGTCAGACCCTTGAGATTAACTGTGGTGGATCTCAAGCCAAGGGCCTGGCAGGGCCGTGTCTGCAAGGGCAGGGTCATGGGCACACAGGTGGGAAGGCACTTCCTCCCCAAGGACAGGAAAGAGCCTGCTGCAGCCGTCGCCCTTGTAGGGTGCTTGCTGGGGAACCAGAGCCGCTACCAGGAGGCTTTGTTTTATGAATGACCGTAACATACTCACTGTAACCCATGCGGCTATGATAACTGCTCATGAGCAGTTGTTGACTGCTCATCTTTTGCCAAAAAAAAGGAGGCAGAAGCCCATTACAGAAAAACAAAACACTAGAGTTAATCTAATAATAGATGAAAACGAAAATGAAAATCTTCCTTCCTGATTGTATTGTTCCCTTAGAGAACATACTTCCACTTACACTAGGAAACACTCTAACAACACAGGCTACAGCCTTCAGCCCTCTGGCATTTCTAACAAACTCCTACCTGTTAACACGTTACGGCAGAGGGAGAAACAGACAGGGAGCAAGTAGTCCTTTCTCAGCTCCACAGGCAAAGAGACAGAGTCACGTGTCGAGGCAGGGAGCAGTGCCCAGGACCATGTATAGGGCTGGCAGACAATGTTCCTACATGTGTATTTGTATGTGCTGTAAAAGTGTCTGCGTATAGTAGAGCTGACAAACGACAAGGGTCTGGTGTCTTGGCCACAGCCAGCTACCCGCAGGGAATGAGCAGTTGGACGTGTGGGCTTGGGAACATGGTCGCAGGAAACATCAAGCTCAATTGGCATAACATACTACACAAAAACATTGTTCTACATCTTACTCCGGTGAGTAGTGACTGGGGTCTTAAGAGCTTGCAAGCAGCCATCTAGATATGATGAATCTCTCCTTGTCCAGAGCAAAAAAGAAGAAAACCAAAGATGCATGGAAACAATTAGTCCAAGGGACTACCAGACTAGACAATCCTCAGCTTATATGACCATGAGACCAGAAGAACTAGGTGGTACCTGGCTACTGCGGTCAACTGATACCTTAGAAAGGGATCAGTGCAGGAGATCGTAGACAGAGTAGGAGAACAACGTGGAACAAAACTCAAAATCATTGAAAAAAAAAAAAAGAGAGAGAGACAAGGTTTAATGGTCTAACAGAGCCTAGTGAGACCCCTGAGACTATGGTGGCCCCTGGTCACCCTTCAAATCTGGAACTGAACTCACTCCTGTGGCTTCCAGCCAAACAAAAGACAGACACATATGAGGTGAACATTTACATCAGGTATATACACTCCCTAGAACGATCAATGATGGGAGAACAGAAGGGCAGTGTTTGCACAAGGAGACAGCTCAGGGGGTGGGAGTGCACACGAGGGCAGGACACAGGGAAGAGGTAACTACAGGGGGGAAGTGGGAAGAGAGCTGTTACACTGGAGGGCACTGCAGTCAATGTCATGAGACAAAATGTGCATGAACCACCACATGAAAAATGAATTTGCTCTGTAAACTTTCACCCAAATCACAATAAAAATTTTTTTAACAAAGAGAGTCAACAGTCGCCAAGAGTTAAGCACAGAGGAATCGGGAGTTGAGCCTAATCCTTCACAAACATGACTTCTGTAAAACGTCATTACTTAACGCACCAGAGGCAACCAGACAGACATTTTTAACCAGTAAGAAATATGCTTCCTTCCACACCACTGTGCTCTTCAAGTCATTTGTGTTTGACTTTATGGGTATGAACACTGTGGACTTAACACCCAAATAATGAGAGCACGGAATTTCAGAGCCAAAAAGGACCTCGGAATATGGGGTCCATTTTATAGGTAAGAAGCCCAGGGCTCCACAGGGCCTTGCCCCCCTGTGGCCCTGCTCTAGGAGGCCTGGGAGTGTGACAGCCACACTGCACGTGGGGACCCGCTGCTTCCGTCACTCTCATCTACAATTCCTCCACAGAACGCCCCCCTGTGGCCCCGCTCTAGGAGGCCTGGGAGTGTGACAGCCACACTGCACGTGGGGACCGCTGCTTCCGTCACTCTCATCTACAATTCCTCCACAGAACGCCCCCCTGTGGCCCCGCTCTAGCAGGCCTGGGAGTGTGACAGCCACACTGCACGTGGGGACCGCTGCTTCCGTGACTCTCATCTACAATTCCTCCACAGAAAGTGAAAACACTCCTCAGCTGTCAACGCCATCACTTCTGAAGAAGAGTTAGCAGCTCTGACACCAGGCAGAGACACTAAAAACCACCTCAGTCCACTGTTTCCATCTTCTCTCACTCACACTTGAGTAGAGCTGAGTGACTTCTTTTCCTTAAAAACAATTCCCTCTGTTAGTAACAGAAACCTGTACCGACAGCTAACTGCCACAGAAGGAAAGGTTCCTGGAAGCTGACTGACTCCAGGCTGAGCTGTCAGACCAGGTGCCCCCACCTCATCACACTCACTTGGCCTGTGCTAATGAACAAACCCAGTCTGGAAAGTGCTTGATTCAGGAGAAGCTGGGGGCAAGAATTATACTGCAAAATGTAATGACCTACATTAAAAACCTGGTAGGGTCATTAATCAAAACATCAAGAGCACACATATTTTTATTGATATTTTAAGTACTTTAAGAATGAACCGTTTCAAACTCAATGGTAACCTGGCAGGATTTAGCAGCACTCACTGACCACCTGTGAGGGATTAGGAACCCCGATGGGAAACTGAGCAGGCAAGCCGGAAAGGTACTCTGTGCTCTGAGAATCTGCAGTCATACCCAGGAGCTTGAATCAGTGCATGTGTACATGCATGTGAGCAGGTGTGTGCATATATATGTGTGCACACCTGTGTATATGTGTGACATGTGCACACTCACGTATGTGTGTGTATGTGTACCTGTATGCACGCATGTGGGTATGTATGTCTGTGTGGGTGCCTGCAGGTGTGTGTACATGCATGTACGTAAGGGGCTGAAACGTCACACGTCTAATGACTGTGACATACTGAACAGGGGGCAGGGAAAGAGTGAATCTGAGTCAACACCACCAGTCAGCACAGGTCTGACAGCCCAGTGAGAGCGCTTTCTGAGAGTAGAACCCAGTCTATAGTGAAGCACAAGCGATCTGGGGGTAAAGACCCCAAGAGCAGCAGTGGCTCCGACCACAGGGGTGTTCCCAGGGCCAGGCGTGGGCCAGCACTCACCTGATACCGACTCCTCCCTCCACACACACAAGTGTCCCTTCAGTCTATGAGGTGGCATGTTGTCATTACAGGTGTAGACACAGACTCCCAGGGGAGGGAGATGTAACCTGCCCAAGGTCCCAGAACTGGGGAGTGGCCTAACCTACTGTGGCCTTGACCCCCATGCATCTATGGCCTCTTGCTGTACGTGGTTGACCACCAACACTTTGGTGAGGTCACAGTGCCAGGAACGGAATGCATACCGTGTGAGAACATCACCCACCTTACAACACGCAACAGAACCGTTTCTGAGAAGCAAGAGTACCTTATCTTTAACGACACTCTCTTGACACGCAGTACACTTCGGACTGGCAGAGCTGAGGAGAAGACACAATGGACACATGAGAGTATGAGCCTGTTTCTCATCTGAACTCACTAGATCATCACCCTACTCGGTACTCAGCTGAAGTTTATGGCCAAGTTCACTACGTGAAGCTTATAGCAGCAGCCAGAGCTCCCATAGGCCAAAACCAAAACCAAACCCACTGCCATTAAGTCAATTCTGACTGAGTAGAACCACTCCATGGGGTTTCCAAGGCTGAAAATCGTTACAAAAGCAGACTGCCTCAGCTTTCTCCCATGGAGCAGCTTGTGGGTTAAAATCATCAACCTTTTGGTTAGTGGCTGAATGCCTTCGCCACTGCCCCATGGTGGAGCTGGTTTAAGTATGAAGCCCCAGGAGAAAAGGGGCTGCAGTAACAACAACAATGAAGGTGACTTTTCAAAAGGAAGTTTGTAAGCTGTACGGTCTAGCTCAGTCCCACTTGGAAAGCCCCTTCCAATTAAAATAAAAGTGAAATTTGATTTCAGAACCAAAACAAGCTATATGTGGATGGGCTCAGACATGTTGTTAGTTTTAAAACCAGCCAACACTTTACCCACAAGCTATTTTCCTTCACTGTCTATTAAAACACTAATGCAATTCCACAGACTATAAACAATCCACTAACGTGAAGCTGGTCCTGTTTAGAGAAACCACTAGTCTCCGGTGTCACTCTTGTACCCAAACTCAGGGCACAACCTGCTCCTCCCCACAAGCTGCCCTTGTCTGCACTTGGTTCTCACCCCATTCCACCCTGTGCCTGGAAACCACCTCCCAGAGATCAGAAATCAAAACGAGATGTGAGCACTTGCCGTCTCCATGGCCACCACCCTGCCCAGCCTAAGAGCACCTCGGGGGTGGGCAGCTAGCTGAGCTCGAGCAGCAGAAGGCAGCATCTGTGTCGAGGGGCTGTGGGTAGAGTAGGGCTCAACTCCACAAGGCCTGGCAAGCCAGGATGAGGGGATGAGGGCTCATGGGGTAGGAAATTAACTGCTTTTAAAAGAAAATCTTATCTATTTAGACTCTAGTAGGATGGACCAAAGGAGCCCTGGGGGCACAGTGGTTAAAGTGCTCAGCAATTAATGGAAAGTTCAGTGGTTCAAATCCACCAGCTGCTCCATGGGAGAAAGATGTGTCAGTCTGCTTCTGAAAAGATTACAGCCTTGGAAACCCTATGCGGTAGTTCTACTCTGTCCTATGGGGTCACTATGGGATGGAGTCAACTTAATGGCACTGGGTTGGTTTAGGTAGTATGTGCTTGGCTGCTAACCAAAAGGACAGAAGTTCAAGTCCATGCAGAAGCAAGCTGGAAGAGAGGCCTGACAATTTACTGAGAAATGACCCACTGGAAGCCCTGTGGAGTGCAGTTCTCTGACCCATGTTGTCAGACTCAGCTCCCTGGCAACTAGTTGGCTGGCAGTATAAATCTTATGCTAATTTGATAGTCATATTAAATCTTTTGTATCCTTAGACCTAAGGGTCCCTGGCATGTGCAGGACAAGGCAGAGGAGGAAGTGAGGTGCTGAGGAGAGCCAGGGGCAGGTGGAAGGCCCAGGTGCCCCATGAGGAGCTGCCTCTGGCCCTCCCACCTCCTTCCCCTGCCCCCCATCCAGTTCCTCCCCACCGGGCTCCCAGGAGCCTCCACACACTCACATGGACTTTACTAAGTTCTCCTAACTGCACAAGCACACCCTGAACATTTCATTCACAGACCTCTCAGAGCATTCAACTGGTAAAAGTTTTTAGACAGATGAGCGAGCACGGGGTCGACGAGGGCAGTGGGGACGCCGGGGCGGCCACCAGGACCCACCTCAGCAGGGCGGCCATGCAGGTCTCACAGAACCGGTGTCCACACTCCGTCTGCCTTGGGTTGCACAGGACCAGGCGGCACTTCTCACACTTGTACTTGTCCTCCACGGCCTTCACAAACCTCTCCTTGTAGCCCCCTTGCTCGGGGACGAACACGGCTGCCCCTGCACTGCGGTCAGAAGTCAGCTTTAGCAGGGGGTTGGTCTGCAGGGGGCCGGGGGAGTCCATCTTTTTACTGGACTCCATCTTGGGAAGGAGAACTTCTGCAGGAGGAAACATATCAACAAGTGAGTGAGATGCCACCAGGTCATCTGCCTGCAAGATGCTCCCTGCCGGTGACGTGTCACATCCGACTCCTCCCTGACTTGAACGTGTAACGGGAGCAAGGCGCACTGGTGTGCTCCCACCTCCCCTTTATGCAGACACTGCTGCTACCTGGCCATTTAAAAACCTTCTGAAGCGCACGTTTTGAACTGTGTCTTCAAAATCCTCTAGAATGTCACTTCAAGGTGCATGATCACTCCTCGATCTTGGCTGAAGAAGTGGCTGCCCACAGCCAACACCATCTCCTGGCTGCCTCATTGTGGGACTGAAGAATGCAGCCTTCCAGGCCCTTCCCCCACACTGTCAGCAGCACTGCTCACCGAGAGGTGGCTTCCAGGTACCACACGGTTCTGCACACACGTGCATGCCTTCCCTCACCCTCGTCATTCTTGTCATTAACCTAAGCTTTACAGAAGGGCTGTGTGGACTCAGCGCTTTCCAACACTCTCTTGATGATGCTCAGACAGGTGTGCACCAGGAGCCGGCCTCCAGTGGCCCATGAGAAGGTGGAGGCTCATGGTCACGGCCTCAGGGCTGGCAGAGGGAGGGCGGAGCAGCAGTGGACAGGGGCCCCTGCCCTCTCCACGCAGGCACTCCTCAAGCACATGGCGACAAGGTCCTCCCAGTGGGTGGCTGCTGATGCCCTGCTAGTCACCTTCACTGGGTGGAGTCGGCAGCACCAAGAGCCCCGAGGACTCAGCCTGAGCAGCCGAGACCCTGAGACTGACCGAAAGCAGACACGGCTGGGAAGGAGCAGAGGAAGGTCTGCGAGAAGCCCCAGCTTTAATGAAAGTCACCATCCGCATTAACACACATCCATCAGTAAGTTGACTAATGATCCTAAATATTCATTAACATTTCCCTGATGCACAAATTAAACACCTTCAGAAGGTGGGATAAAGGCGGCTTCACGGTTCTGTTATACTTTTCTTTATTTTTCGGACTTTCTACAACGAGCAGGGACTTTCACAGTAACGTTCTGAATGTGGGCAGTGCCAAGACCCACCACACACAAAACACCATTCTTCTGCTGGCTCCCCCCTTGCAGCCCTCTGCCAGCACCCCTGCCCTGTCCCCAGCCCCACGCGGCCCTGCAGGTGCTGTGAGGGCAGGTCAGGGGCCTCCCTCCATGGGCTGCAGCTGGGCCTTTCTCACGTGGGCTCTGACCAGCCCCCTGCACCCTCGCTGCCTTTTTCGCTCACACGATGTGGCAGCGCACTTGCTGAACCGCCGAGGGTTTCCCTTCAGCTCACCGGGTCTCTCAGAAGCAGGAACACGCCAGCTCTCTGTCCGGATGTCACAGCTGACACCCGGGGTGCCCTGCTTAGATTATTTAACTACTCACAACCTGGTGGATCGCCTCAGCCGGCAGGGCCTGGACAGCACAGTGCTCGAGGGCCTTCTGATGAGAAACACTTGCTCTTGGGAGGTGACCGCCTATTTCAAACACAAGGGAGGACTAACGGGTCAGGCTCACAATAAAGAGCGTGTGTGGACGACCCTACAGCATGTTCTGCTCTAAGTAAGCCGTCAAGAGCGTTCTTTTGGATCCCTTGTTCTCATACAACACTGACAAGACATAAGCAGACGTGAGAGGTGAGCAGAGCACAGAGAGGAGCCCAGGAAAGGCCTGTCCTGACGGTGCAGGAGAGCCCGCAGCCGGCAGTCTCCAGAGCTGACCCCGTGACGCTGGACACTGACGTGGCTTCTGTGATTGGGCCACTGGGGCTCATGGCCCGCCCAGTGCCCCAACTCCCGGCCCACGCACAGCCATTCATTCCTGCGCTGAGCTCAGCCAGCTAACAGTCCCTCAGGGAAGGAGGGACAGGGCTTTATGGTGCTGAGGTAGCAGGCCAGACGGTCACTACCTAATGCGCATGGTGAGGAGGAAAGAAGCGTGAGGAAACCATCTAAACACGAAACGCCCAGAACAGACAAGGCCATGGAGGCAGAAAGCAGTGTTGTGGTTGTCAGGCTATGGGGATGAGAACCTGGGTTCTCCCTGGGGTGATGGAATGTTCCGGAATTATAGTGGTGACGGCTGCACAGCCCTGTGAACACACTAGCCGCCACCGAACTGTACACTTTAAAGGGTAACTTTTATACTTCAATTAAAAAAAAATATCTAACTCAACAAAAGGTACTTGATCAAAAAGGTCTGGTGTAGGTGTGCCTAAGTTGTAATATTTATGTAGCCATGATTGGTCACATTCTTCAAAATGTAAGATTCTCAAACTGAAATCACATGGTGCCCAGTGCTGTGGATGCATGGGGAGTACAATAAAATAACAACAAAATAAATAAAATTGAAGGAGAAGATTGTCATCATGGCCAGACTGCATCTCGACAGGCTGTGTCAGTCACTGAGTTTCCTCCATGGCTGACAAATGATGGGACAAGCATTGTTCTAGCAGAGAGCAGCCCACAGCACTCAAACGTGACAGTTCCACTTCTTTTCAGACTCACAGTGTTTTCTGGAGAGTACACTGGGTCACTGGTTCTCCCCTGCTCAACGAGCATCGCTGGATGCCTGCTCTGTGGATGCCATCCCAACTGAGCCTGTCTGCAGGGCTCAGCTGCAAAGGTTCAATGGTACCAGCAGCCAGGCCCTCTGAACCACACAGACATGAGAATCCTTCTGGCTGGAGATTCTGTGAAGCCTGGTTGAACCAACTGCACTTTATTTTAAAAAATGCACTGGACCACTGCAATGTATATAGCTCAGTGTCAGTACTCTAAGGGACACAGGACTGAAGGAGATAGGCCCTGCCTTGGAGAACCTTGGAGGGAATCGGGAGGGTGGAGAGAACAAGGACTCGTCCAGGGTCAGTAACTACAAGCAGCAGCAGAATGTGAGACACAACACCCTAGAGCAATACAAAGCAACAAAAAAGGCAGACAGACCTCTGTTTTGGGAGACACGGGGGCTTCCTGAGGTAGACTTGGGGCACAATTCCAATTCCTGCAAGGAAGACAAGGGGGAGTGGCAGACACAGCACCATCACGTGGTGACGAGGGGAGCTGGGGACCAGAGTCTCTGGGGAGCTGACATCACCACAGATGTGATGCAGAAAAGCTGCCAGGTTCCAAAGGCAGGGTGTCTGGGTACGAAGGTCGGTCGGGCAGACCTCTCTGCACGCAGCCCGTATCCTCACCAGGCCATGCTTCTGTGTCTTCCTTTTGAATCCATTGGAAAAGCAGATGCTACTAATTCTCATTGCATTGTCAAGCATCAGTGGGAAGAGGTGTGTGGTTCACCTCTGGAGACTCTGTAACACGCACACAGGAGCAATGGCCTCCTGCTAAACAGGGGCAGGAGCTGACAAGGACAGGGCTGCTGTCTCATCTCAGACAGTTCACAGTCTTTGTTCAAAAAGTCCCTTCTTGGCAATGAGGCAAGAAGGAGTAACAGAAGGGGCATCATCCTGACTGGAGAGGAAGAAGCAAAACCACCTCCAAGGAATCCCAAGGAATTGCCTAACGGCTAGTTAAACGAATCAACAGGTTCAATAAGGTTGCAGTATACAGCATCAATATATAAAAATCAATTGTATTTCTATACACCAACATGGAACAATCTTAAAATGAAATTAACAATGCCAACATCAACAAAAAGAATAAAATATCTAGGAATAACTTTAACAAAACAAGTGTAAGGCTTGTACACTGAAAACTACAAAATACTGTTGAAAGAAACTAAGAATCTAAATAAACAGAAGGGCATCCCATGTTCATGGATCAGAAAACTTAGAATTGTTAAACTGGTAACACTCCTCAGATTGATCTACAGACCCAGTGCAATGCTCAAAAAACCCCAGCTGGTTTTCTGTATGTGTGTTTTTGCAGGAATCAATAAGGTGATCCTCAAATTGACAACAACTTGAAAAGTTAGATGGGAAGCTTAGGGGGCAGCGAGTTTTATCAATGGGGTACAAACAATTCAGAAAAGGAGGGTGAGAATGGTCGCACAAGCTGAAGAATGTGACCAATGTCACTGGACTGCACATGCAGGAACTGCTGAATGGTGTATGTCTTGCTGTATGTATTTCAACAACAATAAAAAGGAACAACTGATCCTAAAGTTCATATGGAAATGCATGGGACCTAAAAGATGGGACAATCCTTAAAAAGAACAAAGTTGGAGGACTCATACTTCCGGATTTCAAAACTTATTGAAAAATAAGCAATTAGGTCAGGGTGGCACTGGCATCAGGACAGACATACAGATCAATGGAACAGAACTGTCAGAAATAAACCATTCCATTCATTCAGGGCGGGGCACAGCCCCCAAGGTGGCAGGGAGCAGCAGCAGACAGGGCTGGCAGGAATAGGCAGGGGAAAGCCCAGGAAGTGAATGGAGCAGCTGGAACAGCTAAGGGAGAAGAACTTGTCTGTCGGTCTGTCGTACTGTGGTGGCTTACGTGTTGCTGTGAGGCTGGAGGCTGTGCCAGCAGGGGTGCCCATGGTGGACTGCTTTTGGTGGAGCTTCCAGACTGAGACAGACCTGGAAGAAGGAAGAGGCCATCCACTTCTCAAAGAACTGGCCAGTGAAAACCTTACGTATAATAGTGAAACACTGTCTGACATATCACTGGAAAGTTTTATGAATAGCCCTGAAACATTGTCTGATATAGTGTCAGAAGATGAGCCCCTCAGGTAGGAAGGCACTCAACATATGACTGGGAAAGAGTTGCCTCTTCAGAGTAGAGATGACCTCAATGATATGGACAAAGTAGAGCTTTCGGGGCCTCCATTTGCTGAAGTGGCACGAGTCAACATGAAAGAAACAGCTGCCAACATCCACTGATAACCTGACATGGAATGTACAACTTATGAATCTAGGAAAACTAGAAGTTGTAAAAAATGAAATAGAAAGCATAAAGATTGATATCCTAGGCATTAGTGAGCTGAAATGGACCAGTTTTGGCCATTTTG